TGCTGTCAGATCTGGTTGAGGTTTAATCTCCTTGCTGTCTGCTTTGGCAACATTTTTGTTGCCATAATAAAGTCTGCAGAACAGAATGTGGACATGCCTTGGATAACAGTCCAGATAAGCATTAAGTTAGTGTGGCTGTGGATAGATGCAATCTCTCACTCTGGAAAGAGGGAGAGCAGTGAAAGATCATTCTTTTGCTCTGGTTTACTATGAGCCCAGAAAACACGTCAGCCATTTCAGGTTTTAGCTATATTAACTTACAATACTGAATGAAGTGTTTTGTGTTGAGTGCTGATTCACCAGGCTGTGAGTAAGAGTGGCTGAAATATGGACATGCATCATGCTCTTCATGTGTGCTATGGGTGTAAACAACCCACAAAACAAAGATGGTAAACATCTGAGGGAGGCACAGATGCTCTCTCTCTGTGAGTGTGATTCATAATTTAGGATACTCATTCCATACAGTGGCCAAAATCTGGCAGAGTATCAAGAGAAAATCTTGGGTTGTCAAGACAACTTGAAGTATCACTGGTATTGTACTGTTGTAGTTTGCCAAATAATTTGTACTATGGCAGATTCCCTTCTACATTTTTGTACTACCTCTGTGCTCACACGTCTTTCTGTCTGCCCACCCATCAGCTTAAGGTGTCTGGACTACCAGAAACAGAAATGTCTGCCATTAGAGGTTTACAAAATAAAAGCACACATCGCTGTCACTGAATTTATTTTACTGTAGCTTAACCTATTTAATTTTCATAGTTTCCTGTGAGTCACTTCAGAGCATAATGGAAAACTTCAGCACAGCATGACTCTTCATTTGTGTGAGTGATACCAGTATGATCTTCAAATAGAGTGTATTTACTTTGAGCTAAATGCTATTGTTATCACTTTTGACTAAATGGTGAGATGGTTTTCATAACACTTCAAAAAGGAGATACTGAAAATGGAATTTGCTATTTCTACAGTGTTATTCTGTTCATTTACATAATCAGTATATTAAGTACTTTTTTTCCTGAAAATTAAAAGCATCAAATAACTGTATTATATTTAGTTTTTCAGAATTACTCTCCTATTCCAGCATACAAAATTCTTGTTTTATTTTCAACTTTGCTTTCTGGATCCCAGTGTCTCTGATGCTTCCATCTCAGCTTTGCTTGGTTTTGTCATAAATACAGAAAAATGACATTTACTAGGTTGGAAGGATACCCCTACAAATCATGTAGGTCAATCTCTTTTCCAGGATTGCACAAAACTTATTTAGGATAGTGACAGAAAGTCCCTTTGTTTCAGCTATCCATTCCATAAACTGTTCATTTGATTAATGATATTTAATGTAAATGAAAATATATAGCATACCTTGTACAAACTACTGCCTTCCAACACAGTTTAACTTCATCTTCAGTAGCATCACAGCACAGCAGAAAACAATGGACTGAATAGAAGGGCTTGCATTTCACTACTAGCATACCAAAACTGATATCTGAACATTTTTGTATTATCACAGTGAACAATAATTTAAAAAAAAAAAAACAAATATTTTTTTCCCCAGGGCTACTGGGAGTCAACATAATTTCCACATTAAATAGGACTTCTGGCACCATTCCAAGAAAACAAAGAGTTGAAAGGAAGTAGGTTCAGGTATGTGTCCTGTCTCCACCACAGCAAGTCTGATTGCATTATAATTTGCTCAAATGCAATTTCCTAATAATACTAATAAATTACACTGGCTTCAACTTGATGTTATTGGACTAAATAGTGCAACATACTATTTAGTTTTTTGAAACGTAAAGAAAGAATTTAAACTCATTTCTCTTCAGTGAGTAATCTAGATATTTAGCTGCATTTAATTTTTGAAAAGTCCAGAAAAAATTGAGCCCCTTTATGCTATAGATATGCTCAGAAATAAGCCAGGTCCATTACCTGATCCTTTGGCCAAGTTTTCCTATCCTACAGAGAGAGTGGCTGCATCCAACAGAGCTGGTCCCTGAACCATGTCTTGGCACTATGCAGAGGTGAGACAGGTGGCCCAGGTTGGAGGTGGGCTGGGGATGCTGCTGGCTGTGCTCTCTCTCTGCCAGAGGTGGAGATCAGATGGCTGTGGTTGGGTCTATGACCTGCTTCTGTCAGATTTATAAACCAGCAGTGGCAGACTATGAACTTCCCTTTTTATTTTTTCCCCAACTTGGAGTAAAATATACTCCTTTCCAAAAGCAACTGAAAAGATATTATTTCAGAATTCTAAGGCTTCTATTGTTTCCTTTACATTTATCTATTTGTATTTATTTATTCAGGTGCAAAAATACATTTTTATTGTTTAGAAACTTTTAATATTCAATTTGCTGGATCTTTGAGCAACGCAAACTAGTAAATTAGGGCTTACTTTTGTCGAAGCATAAACAGAACTTAAATGGGAAAAACATCCCTGCAAAGATGCCTAATAATACTCAGAGGAGAAAAGCACACATGTCAAATGTCTGTTGAAGGTTAAGTGAAGGCTGTTCTAATTTTCATTTTATCATATTCAGGATAGTGAAGGAAAAGTAGGCTTTTCCTTATGAAATCCATCTACTTTTGTTTTGCAGCCAATAAATGTTTTTATACTGCCAAAACTATCAATATTCAGCTTTTATTACTGTGGTCTGGCAGACCCCAATTCTGAGCTACCCTGTCACCCCAGCAGAGGAGTAAGAGAATTAAACCCCCATTTTGTTTGTGTGCACTAGCTCCCTCCATCTGGGTAAACAAGCTAAAAAACCTAATGCAGCTGACATCTTGAATTATGTAGTTTCTCATAACACATGCCAGAAATGCTGTTCAGCCCTGTTATACATGCAGGAATGCTGTTCAAAGCCCTGGCTTCTGGTTCAGCAGCATGATCAGTGGTACAAATGGTGCTCAGCATGCAGTGGGGATTACTGAGCTATGCTGGGGGAGGAAGGAAGGCTCCATAACCATTATCCACTGCTACATCCTTCACAGACATCTGCCAGACAGAAAGGGCAACCACAGGGACAAGGGAGACAGATATACTGGGAGAAGCTGGCTTGTGGTGAAAACCCAAGTCTAGCATCAGCACTTGGTATTTCTGTGCAAGAAGAAATTTTCTGTCTGCCTTTAGGATTGCTGAAATCTATAGATTTTTGCAAGAAAGACTTACAAGAACCAGCATAATTGTCACACTTCTGTTGACGTCCACTGGAAAAACCTGTGAATGTTAGGCTGGCAGATTCAAGGTGTTGCCCTTCAGTTTCAAGAAACACTGAGGACTTAAAAGATATCTGTCAGCAGGGGCAGCCTGGCTGCTCAATTATTCTTAGTCCAATGCTAGTGAAAAATTTTCAACAGAACCCCTAATAGTATTTTACAGTATTACAAAAAGCTTCCTCCTTTTCTGACTCGTTAGTGGTAACTATGACATGAAATCCTCTGGGGCCATGAACAAGCACAGCTGTCAAGCCCAGTACATGCATCAGCAGTGCACCCGTGCTTTAATCAATTAAATTCTGAGTGGTGTATTTGCAACACATGAAAAAATGACAGGAGACACAACATTTGGTATTGGCCTACTAACAACCACCTGTCTTCATGATTTAACAAATCAGGAATACTTTCTTTCTTGAAGTATAGTCCTTATTTTAATGTAAGTTTAGTTATGTTTAATTGCTGTCTGAACATGTTTATAAGTTGTAGTGGTCTAGGGCAGGCACCAAGACCTGTCACTCACTGGCAAATTTGTGCTGCTACTCAGATTCCCTTGTGGGAGGCCCAACCATAGCTGGAAACAAAGAACAGCATAGAATATATTTTATTTGGTCTAAGTGCTTGGAAAGTTAGAACAGTGTCTAAAAAAATATTTCAGTTTGTGGCATGAATAAGATAAGAGATCCCCTCCAAAACTGGAATGACTGCAACCAAACTGTGTCTGGGAATGATCCCTGGCCTACAACAGTGCCCAGAACTCAGCTGGGCAGTGGCTGGGCCAGTACCATATGAAGCAATGAAGTTGGAAAATCTTCTCTTCAATAATAGTGAAAGTTGGTGGCTTTCTTGCAGATTGCAATGCAAATAATTCAATTTAATTAAGCCATAAGGATTTTTGCCTATGGTTTTTGTTTTATTTTGTTTTCTGAAAAGGTGAGTCACTATGGTAAACTATACGGTATTACCTGCAGAACAATAAATAACACTTGGTCCAAGATTTCACTCCTAATTAGTTTATATCCCAGGCAAAAAGATAAATTTGCTAAGCCATGAGAAACATCCAGTCAAATTAATAGAATCTGTAGATTTTAAATCAGGCTACCACTTTGAAACCCTCCTGACAAGAATTTTTACAGTTTACTTATAAAATTATATATTGAAAAGATAAAAAGGAGAGGAAAATAAAGATCTATTGGAAAACTTCCAACATACTTCCTTGTAGTTTTAAGATTTGCTTTAGTTATTTAATAGGCCATATTGCAGGTAGTATGAATGGTAGTATGAATGAAAAATAATCCAGTCAAACAATATCTTCCACAATGTGTTTAAATGAGTATGATGCAGTACAGCTGATACATAAAGCATTACACTGATAAAAAAGGTGTAAAATGCCCAATATATGGTACAGTTGTATATTTAATATTATATCTAGTATAGAATATATTTTCTATTTCAGAGAAAGCAATGAAATAACAAAAATTGTAATATAAACCAATCCTTCTAGAGAAAAAAACCCCATAACTTTGAACTTTTGGCATAAAATAAGTATACATTTCCTTTAGTAAGCATAACAAACTCATTCAGAAGTAGAACATTTATTTCATGGATGGAAGAAGATGTCAGGTTTTCATCCAGTAACCACAAGAAACTGTAACTAATATAAAATGAAGCCAAAAAAAAAAAAATCACCTTTTAAGTGATAGATTTTTTTTTCCTATGGAAGCTGACCAATGCCCATAAGACACAAAGAAAAGTTATCCAAGTCATGACAACTTCCAGAAAGGTGTAGTGAAGCTTACTTTTGATGATCTCCCAGTGGTCTTTGCCCAATGGATTTTAATAATGACTCTGGTCGAACGGATAATTTTGGCGATGTCTTGGGGCTTGTATCAGAATCTCCACTTTCTTCATCTCCCATGGCCTTAATATAGCTCCCACTCCTCATTCTTCTGCATGGGATCTCTTCATCTTTCCCACCAGCTGGGTATCCTCCCCATTCATCCTGAGGTACCTAAAGGAGACCATAAAACACACACACACACAGAATGCAGTTTATTCTTTCCATATGTTTAAATACTTCCTTCCTTTATTCATTTTACAAAGATAAGTAATGAATTTTTTATTCTTCAGAAACAGATGACTTATAAAGAGATTTTCAAGAACCCTAAATGATTTTGCCATTTAACTTCAGCTTCAGAGTTGGAATTTTTAAGTTTATAAACGTTAGAACCAAGGAACAATGAAGTCATGGATTGTGAGCTGAGCTGCAATATCTATTTGTAGACATGCTCTAAACTGCAGGAAGCAGCCTAAAGCTTGCACATAGATTTTAATCTGATAACAACGAGTTAATCAGGAATCTCAGAGCTATAATTCATTGAAAGCTGAGCACTTTGGGGTTTATTACCAGCAGTCCTTTTAAGGGGCTTTCAGGGAGGTGAATGATGTATTTCAGATAAACTAAGACTTGGTCTTGGCATAAATGGGTAGGATTAGGGCAAACTTCTGTGGAAAAAAAAAGAAAAAGTGGTAATTTGTCTTTTTTCTATTTAGAAACTGCAAAATGGTTGATAGAGACTGTAATATATCAGAAATTCAACCAGTTAAATGATACATGAGGTTGTAGGATTGCAGTTGCCTTTATGCAGTTCAAGTGGATTTCCAAATAGTAAGATTGGTAGTCAGATAATCCACAGCTGGTGGATGGAAATCTCTCCTCACCACAAATTACCAAAGAATTGAGCAGGAGTGGATTCTTCAATCCAAAGTGAAATCAGCCTGGTTTCAATGCTTATGATTAAACACAGCCTGTCTCTGCCAGTATTGCCTTTTTTTTTTTTTTTTTAATATTTAATCTTCCAAGGTGCTGAGTCCTCTGGCTCTAATCCAGAAACATACTTATGCATTTAATTTGTTTTAAGGATACAGGCAACTCTCTGTAATGCATTATAAGGACTCACAGTTAAAAAGTAGGATGTGACAGAGTTCATCAGGGACCAAGGCAGATGCCCTTGGCAGCATCAAATCCTTTACCAACATTATTATTCCATCTATATTAAGCAGTTTAATGTCTTTATTTACTAATATACTATAAGTCTGAAATCTCAATTAGACATATATTTAATACTTTCTGCAAAGCAGGATGTCAAATACAGATTTTCAAGTCAAACATATTTGAAATCTTCTATAGACAGAGTTCACTGTGGAGCTGAAGCAAATGCTCCCATTGGTTTCAGCATTCTTGGAGACTGGGTTTAAAGAATTAACACAATCTGCTTGCCAACTATGGCCCTTTCAAGACAGATGAATTAGCCCTGCACACCAGGTGAACAGAGCTGGGGCTTTGAGTCCTAAAAAGGGATTAAAGGAGAAAAGAAGTTTTAAAAGGGGGTGAACAAGTAAAAATAGAGATATTAAATTTAAAAGCCCAAGCTTAAGAAAGAAAAAAAGAAAAAAAGAGATGGAAGATGAAGTCAGGTAAGAAGAGATGAAATAGATCACACATATCAGAAAAATGTTAGAGATAACTGTCAGAGAAAAAAAAAGTAATGTTCTTATACAAAATAATAGGACAGAGCATGAATCTAAGTGAAATATTGCATCACACAAAGAAACAAACTTTTCACATTATTGAGCTTTGGATGGTGAAAGGAAGTATTGAAAATCTTCCCAAACTTGAAGCCTGTAAGTGTGATACATCGTTCTCATTTCTTTTCTCAGACCTAATATGTATAAGATTAATGTTGCAGGAATGTTTTTTATGATTCTATGAGACCTAAAAGATAATTTACATGTAGTCATAGTAGTCATAGCCAGTCGCTTAAAATACTAAATATATATACATTAAATTCAGCATTTAATTTTTTTAATATGCAGCTGACAACTCTAACAGCTGTAAAACTCTGAATTAGAGATCTATTTTATTACTTGATATCATACAAACATGCTCTTATTTTAAATAGTCTTTATTAAATGTATGTCAGCATAGCTAAAGCCAAAATCCAAATGCCAAAAAAGCAGTTACTGGCATCTACATAGGCCCACTACAAGGTGTACTGTTAAATTTTCACTACTAAAGCTGAATTATCATGTCTTAATATTATTTGCAAAAAAATCCCCTCATAACTTTTTCACAGAATGATTATTTAGGCTTCAAACTTCTTTCCTTCTTTTCACTTCAAAGATAATTAAATGGAAAGTTTAAAAAGACATTGATCAATAACCTTTTACTTACTCAAATGCAGAAATTATTACTTTCGCAAATTTATTTTGTCTGAAATTCCATGTTCAAATAACTAGATAAGGACTGGATTTAAATGAGTACAACACAGGCTTATTTGTTGATTGAAGTTGCAATCTTATTTTAAAAGATAGGAATGACTGATTTTGTACATTAAAGTATCTAAAAAATTAAACTTCTTCACTGTGATAAGGACAAACCTTACAGTTATGTGCATTACTGGTTCTGTTGATTGCATTTCTTTTGCTGTCTGTATTCATAAGTTATAGGAATTCACATACCAGCTAAAGACCAAAGCTAAAAACCCAAGAAGTCCTGCTTCACTGTGGTGTGATGTGCTCATGGTACACAGGGCAACAAGAATCCCTTTCTAATCAGACCAACTCATTGGCTATCACAGAAGCATTTATGGCTGTTACAACATTACTCACAATTAAAATATCTAGGTTTTGTTGGTTTGTGGGGTTTTTTTTTGCCCTTAAGCCATTCAAAGGAGCACAATACAATAAATGCAGTGAAAATGCTTGTGGAACCTGGAGAGAAAGTTTGACCATATGTTCTCTCAGAAGATTTCATCCAGAGCTTTGGAGAACACCTATAGTCTTTTTGCCATCTTCAAAATAAAAAAGAAATAAATAAAAAAAAAGAAAGGACACTTGACATTGTTTTTCTTCATGGACTGAGAATAGAAGCAGAATTTGAGTCCCAGTTCAGCCTAGCTCTTCATTTATTTGAACTGATAGGTTAAGTACTTGGAAACATCTTTCAAAATCCAGGCTATCTCAAACCCCAACACAGCTTTCAAGAAAAGCAAAAGCATTATGTAAGTGCAGGAAAGATTTTCATTTTGAGATATTAGCAAAAACAATTAACATCATGTACGAGGGTGATTAAATATACATCTTCCAAAATATGGAAAGGGCTTTGCAACCTGCAGAAATTCTACCTTACAATAGTTCCCAGCCCCTGAAATTCCCATCTGCAGGGCTTGCAGCTGCTAATTTGGAATAATTACTCTAATTATCTTCTTACATACAGTGATGATGCTGATATTTATAATGTCTAAAAAGGCCTTCCTTCTGTTCTAGATGTTAACATGAACCCTTGTATATGTAGTTTCTATCCACAGAGGAGTTATACTGCATATTACCATATGAATTTCCTTTTGCAAGAACAACTGGCTGACAAGGCCTGGCTGCTGATGGTTATGACTGTTACAGAGAATGATGAGTCTCCTTCATAAGTGTCATTCACTGTTGCTGTAAGGAGCACCAGGTTCAGAAAATTTGACATCTTTCAATTGTCCATCTACTGATTCATTTTGACATCTTACATTAATCACCTAGGGTCGATTTTAATAAAGCACTTGATAACTAACACTTACTACATGTTATGAAGCTGAACTGAGAGTGAATTCCAGAACCTTAGGAAGGATCCTAAATTCCCCATAAAGGCATTTGGGAGAGTTAGTTCCTGCAAAGTAACATAAAGAAAGTCCATCTAGTTAGCAATCAGAATGTAGAGCACAAAGAAAAATCTCAAAGAGTTCTCCTTTCTTGGACTTACAGTATCTGATTACAGGCAGCAGAAAGGCCTTCTCTTATTTCCCTGTCAGATCCTAAAATCATCTTCTGCAGAAAAAAGGTGGGGGTTTTTTTGGTTGTTTGTTGTTTTTTGTTTTTTTTTTTTTTTTTTTTTGTTTTTTTTTTTTTTTGTTTTTCCAAAGTAGCCTTATGTTTTCCTTCTATGATGAAACAGCTGTGGAAGTGGAAGACTTTCTTGGCCTCCTTCTAATCAATGATGTTTGGAGAGCTGTCCTCCTGTTTTTGTCACTCCCAGCATTTTCATGAAGCCCTCACAGATTGCCTGGGGAGGGCTGGTTAGGAGAGAGGGACTCCATTTACATATAAGGGTGTGATGCAGGTTTGTGATCAGGGATTTACCCGAAAACAGGGAGCTTAGTTATAGCCCCTAGGCCAAGCACTCATGTGAATTTTATGTAAAAGAGTGTTTGGATAAAACTTTTACAGCCTCTTAACAAAGCAAGAAGTACCTATGCTCCAAACTGATGTACATCCTGCTGCTGAGAATCCAATTCATGGAACTGAGAAGATGGTGTTTGACCTTCTATAGGCTACAGAAGAAACTGAGCTGTCATCTTCACAGTGGGTATTGCAGAAACTTTGTTAATATAAAAATAAATTTCCTTGCTTTAGATAAAATGTTGCTATCCTTGTTCCTTGTTAGAAGTTCATATCTTAAAATACCCCTTACTACGAATTTTTTAGCTAAATACCTAGATTGTCACATGACCAGTTAATGGCCGCAAAAGTTATGATTTCTGAATTTTATTTTAAATCTTATTTCTATCTCCCTTTTATAGAAGCAATACACATTTGTTTGAGTTCTTATTTTTCTCTTTTATTATTTTATATGCTTTATGCTGTGTTGTAATTTGATTAAAATGGACTGATGACCAGGTAAGCTGCTGAATCACCATCCCTGGATGTATTTTAAAGATGTGTAGATGTGGTGCTTAGGGACATGGTTTAGTGGTGCACTGGGCAGTGCTGACTTAACAGCTGGACTCAATAGCCTTAAAGATAATTTCCAATCTAAATGATTCTATGTTTCTATTCTTCCTGTTGAGCGTACTGATTGTGCTCAGACCAGATTTGACAGAAGAAGAATTTTGGACCCTTAACTGGACTTCAGCTGTGTGTCTGATCCCTGATTCTCAGGAAGAAAAAACCAGCATGTTGTCAGGGAAA